ACTGCAAATGATGAGGTTTGGGGAGACGGTGTCCACCCTTATCCCCTAAAATCTGTCTTGGGAGGATTTCTGTAATCTCTCTGAAATCCTGGATTTCCAGAACTCTTCACAGAACTCTGTAAAACCTTGTCAAGAGCTGTGCAGGGAGGCAGTCACGTTGCTCTGCTGCAATCTGCCTTGGTGCTGTTAATAGTTTCTTTACAGTTCCTTGCATCATCAGGCATTTTTTAAAAGTATTTTTAAAGACAGAGTTATCACATGAAGTAAATACTCAGAAAATGTACTTTGATGAGTCTAGAGACTGATTTTCAGGTTATGCTTTCATTTGGTGATGGCACCAGACATTTTGTTTGTTTAAGAAAAATAGCAAGAAAAAACGTTGTAGGCAGAGGTAAAATCTTTTAATAGATCAGATGATGAAGTGGGAAAAATGAGCCTTATGTACCCAAGAATTTGTTTGAAGATGCTAAAAAGAACTTGTATAACTGGATGCTTTTCTAATTTGTCCAACAAATCAACTGGTCTTTTATAGCTGCTTGCAAACTCTACCCTTGGTTTAAAGGAGAATTGAATAGCCTTTATTCACCTGAATATTTGCAGTTCCTTTGGGATGATCAAGGCTTTAGGTAAAAATCTAATTATTATGTTAATCGCTATTCAAATGGCAAGGAGTAAACGACAGAGCTCCACTTGCAAGGCGACAATGGGAAGATATCAATCATTAGATTTGTTTCTGTAATACAAAAATTTTCATGGTTTGCTGAAAGCAAAGCCCTCTGGGGGGGAAAAATTGCCTTGAAAATCAATGAAGTCATTGCAGTTGTAATTTAGTGTTTTGATAAAGCTGAAAATTAGTCAGTTAATATTTTGTCAGTGATGAATAAGAAACATGAATTATTATATGTGTGGTTTTCCATACAATTATAAATATATACATATGTATATGTATAATTTTCTTTCCCTCTAGTCATAGTCTAGAAATAGGAAGCGTTATTAGTAGAGAAAAAGACAGCTTGGAGGGTCAAAAGACGATTAAAAATGTTTCTTTTCTTGAGAGCACCATTGTGTGAGGGTTGGGATTGAAGAGAGAGAGCCTTCAGAGGCTGCATCTTCGTGACACTGCAGCAGCCAGGCAGGAACAAGTCTAAAAATAGCAACTTCTGGGAGAATTCAAAGGACTCGAGGCTTTATCTCTGCAAGATGTTGAGCAGCTCCTGAGTGTTTGGTACCTGGCAGGACTAAACTCCTGAACACTGACACGAGGGTTCTGTTCCTCCACCTCTCTTTGATTTGTGTCTTCATCTCTCACAGGTGCTGAAGATGAAAGAGTGAAACGAGCTGAGCTGAACAAAAAAGTTGGAAATGTGTAAAGTTATGTAGGAAACAACTGGTGAAGGGGTCACTGTGGTCTTGTACTGTTGAAAGGATTTACCTGCCAACGTCAGGCACAGAGACAATGGCCCAAAGCTTAGAGCACAAGAGCACAACTCAGGGGGAAAAAGTTTTAAGTCTCTGACAGATTTCTTAGAACTTTGGAATAGCAACTGGCTTCCAGGAGGATCAGTCCCATATTTCTAATACTGATGTGGGAAAAAGCTCATTTCACATTCCTCTCTGGAGGAGATGTGCAGTCCTCCAGTCCTCCAAACAATTCTGCAAATATTTCCCCCTTAAGTGTGTGTGGATGTAGAAAAATAAAACTAACTAACCCTTAGGATGTCCAGTACATATATTTTTTCACATTTATTGCAAACACCTTCAGAGTAACATACCATCAATGTGTCTACAACACATAAAAAAGATCACTGAGGAGGAATATACTGTCCTTTCCCCTTTCTCTTATGCCAGCCATTAGAAAATCAGTTATGTGATGCAGCACAATTGATCAATTTTATTGTGTACCAGGGATAAATTTAATGTACTCTGCACATGGAAATCCCATTAATGTGATTTTATGTGTAATATATAAATATATGGATTCTATTAAAACCAAAAGAAACAGTAGCACTGGTTGAACTCCTTTAAAAAGTACTTACCTTAAAAAGTAACACGGTGTGATCCTTAGTAAATTTTTTAACTTAATTTGCCTTTGCAGTGTTCATTTTTATAATGCAGGCTTTACTCCATTAAACTGTCAGATAAAAAGTGAGCTAACAGCCTGGCTGCATTTTCATCCAACAAAAGCTACATTTAGTGGGCTCAATTACTGGTGGAAGCTTTAGACAGAAATAGAAAAAGAAGGACGACAGAGCAATTTATTTTTACAATAAAACTGTTAATTCTTGCACCCTCCCCTCCCTGCAACATTCTGATGCTTAACACTACATTAATGAGGCACTTTTAATATAATTATGGTTGCTTTTGTCCCAGCTTTTCCTGATTTTCAGATGTGGCCTTAGAATTAACTGTCCTTGGCCAGAGTGAAATGTTCCCTTTAACTGGGCCGAAATTGTCATCTTTTCTACAATTTCCTGCAGCATCTTTTGCTAGTTTGCACCACTTGGATTCAGGGAGAAGAAAGAGAAAACATAATTTCACAATGCTCTTCTCTTCGTATGATTTAACCAGCCTAAAATTTGCAGCATCATTGCTGGGGTTTCCACAGTCTGCAGCTCCACATATGGCCATCGAGCTGTTTTTCCTTGCAATCTTTACACACATTATAATTTATTTCCTTTTACAGTAGTCTGAAGAATACAGGATCTAACTCCTAATGCGAGTAATTCATTAGCAACAGGCTATGTTGATCCTGGAACCAAGTACAGCAATTACCAAAAAGGTCTTTAAAATGCCTCCTAAACAATGATGTGAAGGAGTGGGTTATTTACACAGCCGGTAACAAGCTGTGGAACATTTAATCTTCAGGTCGCTGGTCTGCTCCTCAGTTAGGCTTGTGCTGGCTCTTATTTGTTTGTGGCCTATGACTAAGTGGGTTGGTGCTGCACACAGCCAGTTAGTTTGCAGTCTCAGAAGGATGGAGGAATAAATGGATCATAGCAGCCGAATTCCCTTTTAATTTTTAGCACGCTGCCGTCCGCTCAGTGCGGGGAATGCAGCGCTTTGTGATTCAGCTCACTGCCCTTCCTGTGCTGGGTTCTCCATCCCTGTGCACGTGGCTGGCTGCAGGGGGCTTTGATGTGGTTGTGAGGTGGCTGTGGGAATTACATCTCCCTCTGTATGTATGAAATTTATGCCATTATCCCCCTACGCATATTAGAGAAAACTTTTAAAACTGTTCTTTTGTTTCGGACTTAAGGGGATCTTTCCAATTCCTCTTCATGGTCTGGTCCATCTGTGGACTTTATGAACTGGGCATCCCCCCCCCACTTACAGTTTCAGACAATTTGTACATGAGGTTGATCTTTCTCTTAAGGATTCAAGAGCAGTTCTGCTGGTTTGTTTTATACTGCAAGCACAAGCCCAGAAACAAGTTCTGTTCCCCCTCTTTACCTTAACGTGTATGTGAAGCAACAAAGTGAATGTATTGCACTACAGGGCATTTGTTCTCTGCTGCCTCCTCCCCTGTGAACAATTTGGCTTTTCACCCCTGAACGTGGCTCTTCCAGAAGCAGATATTAATATTTTGTCTTCTGAGGTTTGGTTCAAGGAATAAGAATTAGAGACACAGACATCCCACTGGAAATGAGACCTACTACTCTTTTTCATAAGGGTATGAGGACAATTCCTTCAACACTCCTGGAAAAAAATCAGGGTATTTTCTTCTTCAAGAAGAACTTTTTACAGCTGTTTCTGCTCAGGTAAAATTCCTTGCAGGAACTGGTAAAACCAAGTTGTGCAGCCCTGGGATAGGACAGAGGTAATTTGGTAAAATATGGAGCAATGCACAGTGGGAAAGCCCTGGTAGGATGATAGAGACTGTGCCTGGAAATAAAAAGGTAAACGTTAAAATAATAAAAAATAAATATTTGGCTTGCCTTGGAGGGATAAATGGCCTGTCCAGATAATCCATTTGGTATCTGAAGGGATTCCTTTAGTTGAAAAGACTTATGACAGACTTGTTAAAATTCCCTAGGTAGACATAGATGAGATGGATTGAGGCTGTGTGCATGGGAAGATGAAGACTTGATCTGGGCTGCCTGGGGAGAATGCAGAAGCAAAGATTTAAAATTAAACTGAGGCAGGAGGAAGAAACTGCTCTCGTGGAAGAGTGGAGGGGTTCCCTGGGGCAAAGGGGTTGTAGGTTTTGCAATCCAGCCCTGGTGCACGTGGTGCAAGTGCTGGGTCCTGCACTTTGGCCACAACAACCCCCTGCAGTGCTACAGGCTGGGGACAGAGTGGCTGGAGAGCAGCCAGGCAGAGAGGGACCTGGGAGTGTGGATTGACAAGAAGCTGAGCAGGAGCCAGAGTGTGCCCAGGTGGCCAAGAAGGCCAATGGCATCCTGGTCTGGATCAGGAACAGTGTGGCCAACAGGTCCAAGGAAGTGACTCTTCCCCTGGACTCAGTACTGGTGAGGCCACCCCTGGAGTGCTGTGTCCAGCTCTGGGCCCTCAGTTCAGGAAGGACATGGAGGGGCTGGAGCAGGTCCAGAGGAGAGCAACAAGGCTGGGGAAGGGACTGGAGCACAAGTCCTCTGAGGAGAGGCTGAGGGAGCTGGGGCTGTTCAGCCTGGAGAAGAGGAGGCTCAGGGGAGACCTCCTCACTCTCTACAACTCCCTGACAGGAGGGGGGAGCCAGGTGGGGGTTGATCTCTTTTCCCAGGCAACTCTCAGCAAGACAAGAGGGCATGGTCTTAAGCTGTGCCTGGGGAGGTTTAGGTTGGATATTAGGAAGAATTTCTTTCCAGAGAGGGTAATCAGCCATTGGAATGGGCTGCCCAGGGAAGTGGTGGATTCTCTGTCCCTGGAAGTTTTAAGATAAGACTGGATGTGGCATCAGTGCCATGGGCTGGGAACCACAGTAGTGTTGGATCAAGGGTTGGACTTGATGATCTCGGAGGTCCCTTCCAACCCAGCTGATTCTATGATTCTATGTCACTGGCATCGCTGCTCTGAAAACTCCGCAGCCCTGAGCTGTGGTAAAGCCAGCAGGGAGGTGAGTTTGTGTTGGACAACACGGGGTTTTCATTGCCAAGGCTGGCAGGAGTTGATGGCTGAGACTGTCTTTGCTTTCCTACCAACCTTGGAGCCTGCTTGGTCTTGAAAAAAATCATAAGGACCTCTTCTTTTGCTTCAGTGCCTAAGGCCATGCACTCTGGTTCCTCTGGGGTGGAGATTGATATTTAATGACTCTGAAACTGAAAAAAAAAATAATAGTCAATTTTGGCCTGGTATGTTCACAGTTTAGGAGAGTGTACTTCTTTATAAGAAATCTTTGCCAGATATTTAAGTCTGGCATTGTCGAATGAATCATTCAGTGACGAAATATTCTGGAACCATTATAATTTTAAAAAATTAATCATACATTAGACTTTTGCACCACTTAATGTAGCAAAGAAGGGTACTCTTTAAATATTACTGGCTTCATTAACTGAAACTAAATTATTGTTCAAAAGCAAGTGCATCAATCTCATCCTGAGATGATGTCCGACCTGTATTTATTTCTGCTACTGGAGTAATTATAAAGGTAACTGTATTGTCATTGTTAATTTTGATCTGGCTGTCAGCAAAACTTGTAATGCTCACTGTCCATTTTCTTGAGGTACAGGAGGGGTTTGGAGCTGTGGTAGCACTGAGGGAGAGATTTGCTGTGTATTCCCATTCCATGGGCATTTTCTTGGACAGCTTTTATGAACATACACCTCCAAGAAACTGCACAGTACCTAAAAGACAGTCTGCATGCAGAAAGAGAATTAAAAAACCAAACTCACTTGACTTAATCATGCATAGTATGTAATCATTTTTATTGATAACCTGAGACTCTGCTTGGTATAATAGGCCCTTCAAATCCATGTACTCTTTGAAAATAAGGATTTCAACAAGAATTACTTTATTATTCTTTCTTTTTGCTTTTGCAGATTGTCTCTGTTAATGCTACTTTTAAGTAACTTAACTGTATCAGAATTATACACTGCTATATATGGCTGAAAATGCTGGATATAAGAAAGCTCATTTTCTCTTACAGAAAAACAGTGAATATATTCTGTTTTAAATGAGGTTATGTGAGTGCAGTTGCTGACAGTTACTTCTTCAGATATGTCCAGATTGTTGTAAGATCAATAACTCATTGATTGAAGTGATAAGAGAGCTACTATTAGATTTCATGAAGTCGTTAATTAGCAAAATACCAGTAGTGCTTACTGAATCACTAGGGTTTTATTACTTAATTATATGCCTAACTAAGCATACCCTCTGCTCTAATTAGTGGAAAATGAGTTAAAAATATACAGGATATGGCCTACTTCTGTATGCAGTCACAGCTTAACTCATTTTCTTTAATTTCCGGATATTATATCAACATTATCAAATATGCAAGGCATATATTTCATAGATCTGCTACCATTAATGCTAAATTTGTTGATGCAGCTTAACTAATCTAGAATTAAGTTTAGAAATTAATGTTAATATGCTGTTTATGAAGGCTGCCAGTTGAAAAAGTGCTTTAACCATAAATAAGGCATATTAATTTCAAGTGTCTGTGCTCAAATACAATTTGATATCAATGTGAAACATATTCAACAAGACTAGAGGTACAGAACCCCACTTTAGGACGAGTTTGATCCTTCAACTATAGAAATATAGGCAACATCCAGCAAGGATCCAAAAGTCTCCCTCTAGTAAGCATTATGTTTGGTTTTAAATGACACCTGTAAGTTGAAAAATAGATTGTTTTGTCAGGACCAGGCTTGGTTGTGATTAGCTGGAAGCTTTGAGCAGGATCTAACTCTCTGTCAGCCTCAACACACGGTGTGAAAGGAAGTGAAACCTGAATTCTGCCCAGTTGGGTTTGTTTTTTTTTTTTCTTTTTTTTTTGTGGTTTGGTTTGGTTTGATTTGCATCTGTTTGTGAACAGTAGGATTTTCAGGTGACCACAGTTCTGAAATTCAAGCTTGCTTTCTGATTGTGCCTCCACTTACCAACCTGTTAAATCAGAGTATCCATCCCAGAGGATACTTTGGAAGTTTGCTCAGTGTCAGGTAGATTTGGCAACGGTCTGGAAGTTATCTAGGAAATGTAAAGTGCAACCAATGAATGAGGAAAAATCATGGAAAAAAAAAAAAAGAGTTCATCTGTGTCTGTTCAAACCAAAGACACCACCTCTGACCTCAGAACTGCCTGAGCTGCAGGTCCCTGAAGGCTGAGATCAGTACCACGAGGTATGTGCTTTATTCTCATGGACTTCCTTAGGCATTCCCTGCTGGAGACAAAATCCCAGGCTCAGGGGGCCTTTGATCTGACCTGGTCCAGGCATCCAGTGTAATTAGTGCAAGTCAGAGCCTGCAGCAATGTGTAATCCACTGCAGCTCTGCTGCTGGATGTGGGCTGATGGGTGGTCTCCTGCTCCACTCTCAAATCTGCAAATTAGTGTCTCCACTGAACTCTTGTTTTAACTGTGAAGTTAAAGGAGTTTCCCTCAGCTCCAGCTGATAATTCAGCCCAGAAATATGAGAGTGTACTAGATGGACACTTTCTTCATAAAACATTTCTGTGTGCATGTATGAAGCTATAAAATTAGGGTAGATAATATAGATATAAACCTACTTTGAATAAATTCTCTTTACTGAAATGAACATTTTAAGTATTCCCTTGCTTCAGCTATTTGAATTTTAAATATTTTGATTATCATTTTGATTAGCATTTTAGAGTTGCATCTTGTGCAAATGTGTAGCAACTAATTTTCAGTGTGAAGTCTTCTATCCCTTTAAAATATATATGCTATAGCAGGTTTGAGATGAAGTTAAATTAATACACACACAAAAATCACTTTCAAAACTGCACATCCCAAACTGAAGGGTGCAGTGAAGCTACTGACATAGAAATCCCTGGCAACTAAGATAAACAAATTTGACAGCATGGAATTAAACATGATGATAAGAAACCAAATGAAATCTTTAAGTATCAGGTCAGAGGGAGAGTGAGTGATATGCCAGAAATTTGTGCAGTGGGAATTGATGTAGTCAGCTGGAGTGAGGAATATAAAACCAATGGTGTGCAGATACCCCTGCCTTAACAGCACATAACTCCTGTAGAAGGGGAAAAGGTTTTATGGAGTCGTGGTTAACCCTCCAGTGACCAATAAAATCAGTTCTTCCCAGGTGATCCCTCTGGACATCTTCCAGTGCATATTGTCAGCACAGACCACCAAAGGCTCACTCATTCAAGCTTTATCAGCCTCTCCCATTCTCAACTTCTGTGCATATTCAGGGCTTTCTTTTCCCTTATTCCCCACAGGACAGATGCACAACCTGATGCTGGATCAGCACTAGGAAACTGTGAAGCCATCTCACTGTGAAGGTTTCCTGGCAGAGGGTCTGTGTGGAGAAACAGAACAACGAGCTAAACCTCAGATCAAAGAGCAAGTGACTCCTACCAGAGGCTGGACAACGTCCTGAGCAACCAACTATTCTCAACCCTGCTTTGAGCAGTAGAAGATGTCCAGAGGTCCCTTCTGACCACTGTTCTGCGAGTCTGTAAAATGACATCTACCCATGTGTGTGTCAAAGTGAGTTTTCTTGGTACGGCAGAACATCTGCCAGGAGCACGGAAAGAATTGAGGCCCCTCCAGAGAAGTCAGCTGCTCGTAACAAACATCCTGATATATGGAGGAAATGCCTGTAGGGAGATGGGTAACTCTGTTATTACCTGCTGGCAATAACACATTTCTTCAAGAAGTTTTATTGCCATCAGTCGTATTTCCCCCAAGTGCGCTCAAGGGGAGAACAAGTCTGGAATATCCAGGAGATGACTAATGTACCTGGGGAGAAGCAAAATTCCTCAGCAGTGTCAACTTCTGACACTTAAAAGTGATGCCATGAACACACCTCTGTGCTGCCACCCTCACAAAAAGCATTCCTGGGAAGTGGAACAATCCCTTTCTGCATAAATCCTTCCTTGCCATTAGCTAGATTTTGAGTTTTGCATCAGTCCTCAGTCAGAGTGGTTGGAAACACAGTGGAAACTCATAGACCACAGGAATTTCCTACATTATCAGTGCCTGGTATGTTTTTAGGTAACTTTCACATTGTCTAGCTGAAAAGCCTCTCTAGAATATCTGGTAATGACCAAATCTGTATGTCACAGGGGAAAACTCCAAATCCTTTCCAGAGTGTACCTTTCACAAAGTGCCCAACGTGCCATTTTACAGATTCTCAGTGGTATTTATGCTGCTGCCTCTGTACAGTCCCGGCCCAAAACCCCACATGGTTAAGCTCAGGAGCTTTGATCCAAATTCCATTATGTGCTTGTCACTGTTTGACCTTGTAAACTTACTTGAAAATCTAGTCCCTTAATTGTTATGAGAAAGTGGAACCCAGAATGCCTTCAAAAGTGGAGATCTTTTCAATTTTTGTGCCAAGCTGTCTAACCTCAGGCATCAAAGGAGGAGTCACCTTTTAAGTCTGAAACTCAGAGCCTCAGAACCCTGTGTACATAGTAATGAATTTCAGGTATGTTGAAGAAGGTCACTGACAGGGAATCTTGAAGGGAAGCTCTGGGACCGAGTTCAGAATCCCTGGGGAAGGCCAGCTTCAAGAACTTCTTAAATGAGCAGCTCATAAAGGGATATGTACCTCCTCAATAGAGCAAGTTCCCCACAGAAAGCACTTGTTTTTGCAGGCTGACTCCAAAGATATTTGGACAAAAACTAAAATGTATATTGGAATGACTGACTTTTAAGCAAACAGAATGGTAAATAAGTGCATTATTTGTGTGCTGAGGCTTTGCAGCTCGACACACTCAAGAAAACTCACAGAGCCTTCCATGACTCTTCTAATGAAAGCAGGGGAAGGTGAAAAGTATGTACAGCAAGGTGCTTGTGGGTCTTAGGTCTTTGTGTCAGGCTAGAAATTCTTTGATAAAGCAACTTAGAGCACCTCTAAAACACATTTGAGTGACATGTTTTGTAAAATCATGCCATAAATGGAAAATATCACTTCCATTGTTAAAAGGAGTTGAAAGGATGTCTAAAAACATGTGGGCATCGCTTGTGTGATGAGCAGATTCCCAAAAATTTGAGAAGTGACTGATCAGGCTGAGCAGCTGCTCTGTTACCTATGAATGGTGTGAAAATGTGTGCCCTACAGGTACCAGGATTTCTGGTATCAGTATTCCTGCTAAAATATTTCCAATGAAGACATCTAGTATTTGTCACTATTTTTCACAAAGGTCTTTGGGGGAATTTAACTTTCATGTGGCTTTTTTTGGAAGGTTTGTGAGCTTTTGCTATTTGTAAAACTCAGTGTTGGTTTTGCTGGGTTTAAGCACACAGTAATGGTACTTGTTTTGGCATGGATAAATACACATTTGCAAGAGCTGATGAGCAGCCTTCATCTGAAAATTGCCATTAATACTTCATGGAATTAACCAAAGAGCCTGCTGGATTTATTTGATTGCACAAATGGCAGTCCTACATGAAGACACTGCAAGATTGCTATTCCATCCAGCACTCACAAAGAATAATTTGTCTTTCTCATTTCCCTCTGAGCTCTCTGATTTTGTTAGCATTATCAGGAAAGTGAATGTCTCAGGGCCTCGCTGCTGTAGTTTCTCCCATGTAAGCTCTCCATGCACATATCCACCTGGATGAGAGGAAGAAATGCAGACCATGTAACCTTTGAAAGCAACACAGAGAAGAAGGATCATGATGAGGAGCACAGATGTGTTAGGGTAAAGGAGATGCTGGTCAGTGGAAAGCACAAGTCCTGCAGGCTCTTCTCATGGAAGAAGAGCCCTGTACTTAAAGGAAATATACCTTAGCATCAAATATTTTGATGTGGAATGAGCTGGGAATGCAACATTTTCCCTAACAGCTATCAGCAGGTTTTATGATGGCCTCTAAAAGAAGAGAACATTATGTTGCCTGTTTGGCTGTGGAGGTGGGTATGTTACACTGACAGGTGACTCTTCTGGAATGAGAAGTGCTCTCAAGATAGTGGCTAAAACAAGCTTGTAATAACAAAGTTGGTACTGGCTGGTGAGGGACAAGTTTTGTTCTTGACTTGGCACAGAGTTGTTAAGCCATTGGTGTTACCGGAATACTGTCTGTGCTTTTTATTAAGCACCAGAAAAAAATGTTCATTTTGATTGTCTGAATTAAAAAACCCCAAACCTAGGTAGGTTTAGATCCATTTGATTTGTATGGTTTAGTGATATAATTTGTTTACAATTTCTCTCTTGATAGTTCAGAGCAAAAAAAACCCAGTTTATTTATCACAATGGGTAGGTCTTCAATTTCCACTCAATTCAAGCCTCTTAGAAAACAAATACTTTCCTTTTTTTTCCCATTTCACAGGAAAGCAAAGATAAATATAATCTTTCCTACCTGTAATTGCACTGATAAACTGTATGTATATATGTGGCCACAGATAAAAGTATCACATCTGTTTTAGTGACTTCAGGACTATGAAGATTACCCCATTTATTTCCAACCATAGGAATTTGACAGCATCCCCTTTAGATTTTCAATTCTACAGCACGTCAATAATCTTTGAAAAATGCATTTTCTCTGCTCTGTGGGACAAGATTGATAAGGTAAACCATTAGAAAAAAAGTTTAAATATTTGAGGAAATTGCAAGGACATCTGGTATTTTGGAAGAGACTTCTCGGGCTCCTCTCCTACCTATCACCAGGTGCATTTATGTCACGGATTACTAATATTTAAAACTATTTGCTTTATCATGTTGTCTTTAAAGAGCCGCTATGAATATGTAGATGTGCCTTGAAACCTACAGTTGGGCTTTATGGATTGAAGTGCTTCCTCCTTCTGTCCTCAGGGTGGGCTGTGCAGACCTCCTGCTCCCCAGAGCTTGTTCTCCCTGTGGCTGTTCCCTGCTGCAGGCCAGGAGTGTGGCTGCTCCCTCTGCCCGGATTCCTGCCTGGCATTGAGCAGTTTGCCCCCTCAGGCTTTAGCAGAAGCAGCAGCACTTTGCCCACTGATTGCTCCTGGAAAGTCACAGTTAATTGGAAGGAGCATTCCAGACCTATCCCTCCCTCCAGGCATAGTGAGAAATATCTCAAAGCCGGGGCCACCAGCTCTGTCAAACACAACTGAGCACAGGGGGAAGAAGAAATTGAATTAAATTATTTATTCCCTTCTGCAGGAGGCATTATTCCTAGTGATCTTTATATTTCTGCTGCTTTGTCCTGCTAATTAAGTGTTGATGGAGACTTCCCACTGTTTTCTCCTGGAGTCTGTTCCATAGTCACACAGACCTTAAGACAATTTTTCCTCGAATATCTTTTCCTTGGTGTCATTACATTACTCTGGGTTGCACACTCACTGATGCCCTTCAGTGATCTCCAGGTGATTATGTGTCTTACAGAAGTGTTGGGTTATTTTGATGTGATGCCTGTAGATGGGGAAGGGGGCAGAGGAATGTGCTATTGATGCCCCAGGCAGAGTTTTACCCTCCATATCCAGTGCAGCTGCCCAACGCATCATTTAACATTTTTTTTTTTTTCATTTATGTGGAAACATAAAAGGTGTGTAACCTCATGACAGCTGCCTGCACATAAATGAATTTCATCCCCAGCAAATTTCTAGAGGCTGGAATTGAGCCCAAGAGTCCTTGTATTCAATCTTAGACTGCACTACCTTCTAGTGGCATTTCACAATATTTCCTCCCTTTTAACTTTTGAGCACTTGCTGACAGTGATCAGGAGAATCTGAGGCACAGCTAAACTAAGTAAAGGCAGCTTTTCAGTTTCCAATAAATTACAAAGCTTTTATTTTCTCAGGAGCATTAAAAATAATGTGCCAAAAATCTTGTTCTATCTCGTGGACTTTGTTCCCATCAACCTGTAACTAAAATTACAAAAAAAATGTGTTTGTTGTCTTTTAATGCCACTCTACATATCACCCAAAATCTGATTGACATAATTGAATTCATGTTGATAGTTAGACTTAATAATAGATGGGCATGCTGAAATGTAGGCAGCCATTCTCCCAATTAGAAGTGTTGAAGTGTTTAAGAGATCATGAAGTGATGTTGGAAGAGATACTTGCTTGTTAGTGGTTTCATTTCACTTCGTGCTATTTTTCTGCAAGCCAGATATAACAATAAATTATAAACCCAATTGGTTTAGATTAAATCATAATGAGAGTATTTCAGGCTGTGTACAGCATGGACAACAGTGCAGGCAGACTGTGACTAACTGCAAATGTGCTTGGAAGAGGTTGGATTCTGGCCCAGCTTTTAAGTTTGTGCACGTAAACTAACAGGTAGCTCAGGACTGAGCTGATGCACCACTTCCAGCTGAGCACAGGCTCTCACTGAACGTGACTTGCTGACCAATCTTTTGAGTATTAAACTCTCTTTTGACCCAGAAGATGCAAGAGGCACAAGAATAACTCCAACAGGGTGTTTTTTTCCCACACACAGTGCAGCCTTCATGTGACAGTGTAACCTGATTTTTGGACAGTTTACAATCTGAGTGGAGAGAAACCACTGATCTTTCTGTGGAAGAGACACATAAAAGCTCTGGGAGTT